ATTCAGACATGTTGACGAGGGACTATTTGGGCCTGTGCTGAACACTTGGTGTTGACGACATTCCCATCTTCCCTTCTTCTTCGTCTAACCCCACCTCCTTCGTCTGTGTATGGTTGGGGCTGGCGCAGTCTTCTTGTGTGAAGCGCCAAACCCCTTCACACCATGATGATGATGATGTATGTTCGGGGCTGCATTGCAATATTGATTGTTCGGATCATTGGTATCTAAGTCTTCCGCTGTGCTATCTTATACTTTGTATTGAAGGGTCGGTTCTTGTTCTGGTCTGCACCTATACGGTGTGCAACAGCGGCACACTTGCACATATACATACGTGCATATGTTTATTTCATGATCCATAATAAAAGTGTGGAGGGCAAGAAGCAACTTACCTAAGGCAGAGGACTCCACCAGCAAGAAAGCACTGACCCATCCGCCATTGGTCCGAGTAAACTTGGGAGAGCCCTCCGCGTCGGCCCACAAAACCACAAACTTGCTTAAACAAACACAAAGGCATAACACAACTACGAACACAAAAGCACCCACCACACCTGCCAGCGGTCTTAAAAAATTGTAGAGCCCTCCTGCAACGGCCTACAACGCCACCACTAATCGGAAATACACCGCAGGCCCTGTTCGCACCACCACGAGTGCCATGAACCTCCACCTTCCGCACAACCTGCACAATCGGATGATGCCCTGGTGCTACAGCGAGGCCACTGCGTGAACTATGCCAAATTCCACAAGATCTCCGTGTGTGTGTGTGTGTGTGTGTGTGTGTGTGTGTGTGTGTGTGTGTGTGTGTGTGTGTGTGTGTGTGTGTGTGTGAGAGAGAGAGGGAGGGAGGGAGAGAGAGAGAGGGAGGGACGGAGAGAGATAGAGAGGGTCTAGAGTCCTCATACATCTCTCCCTGAGCAAGAAAGCAGAATGGACGTGTTTATATGAATAATGACGTGGCTTTCCTAGATCATACTGATGGGCCTGAAGCTTCAGGAATCCACCTGAAACTTCTTGGAACACACCCACGAGTTGCTGAACATCGTTCATTTGTTCGTTCATTTGTTCGTTCGTTCGTTCGATCGTTCGTTCGTTCGTTCGTTCATTCACTCATTCATTTATAATTGTCAAGTAACTGGTTACTTGAAGTGGAGGAGGAAGAGAGGAGAAGATGAAGACTGCGTGAACCAAAAAAAAAAAAAAAAAGAAGGTTTGTAGTACTTGTACTACTTTGCAGAATACACAGTTCGCTGCGCTCAGTGAGTTGACCGAACGCGATACGTTAAAACTTAAAAGTTCTGAAAAAAAAAAAAAAAAGTTCTAAAATGGAATGGCTACACAGGAGATCCTGGAGTAGTGCTACCTTTGCATGTTATTAGCACAGACGAGTGTGGCAAGGGATGCACTCTTTTTTTATTTTCCCGGAGAAGGCAGGAGATCACGCCGTCAGGTAATGACGCGCAGAAGCTGTCATCTTGTGGGCACAGACCTTCGTTTCCAACTCGGCACTGTGTCGATGTCTCCACCCACAGCCAGTGCTAGCCCGGTCCGTCGTTTTTCTCCCCTTTCCTTCCCATTGCTCAGCTCATCAGGCGAGGAGAAGTTCTCCGTCCTTCCACCGTTTTGCACTGGTCCCCGAGTACGGTCATTCTCAAGCAGCCCATCCGTAGATCCGTCGCCGGCTCCATGCACTGCCGCAATGGCACGGTGAATTGTCCTCGCAATGTCCATGACCTGCATGCGAGCAACAGCACAGAGGGACCCGCAAAACCATAACTGCACTCGTTACGACGTTAAACACACACCTCTGAATCACAACAACGTGTACGCCAAGCTTGATGTTTTTTTTTTCTTTTCACTGCGTCAATGACGCACACACAAAAGCCAGACGGTCATTCGCTTATTGACATGTCAGAGCTGCAACCCATAACTACAATTTGCACACTCCCCGCCCCTGAAACCCAAACGGTCGGCAGGCATATAGTCGGCAAATAATCAGGTTGGTGTTTCTGAAGGTGAGGGTACTAAAGATGCATTATTAACCCAAACAGGCCGGTCAAGAAGTGAGCGAACACTAAGTGCGCAGAGTGTTCGCGAAGCGCTCCCTCCTATCACAAGAGTCTGCTTGCTGAGTGTGCGTGTTTTCATAAACTTTCTGAAACTCTCTCTCTCTCTCTCTCTCTCTCTCTCTCTCTCTCTCTCTCTCTCTCTCTCTCTCTCTCTCTCGGAATATCATGAAGCCTCTCTCTCTCTCTCTCTCTCTCTCTCTCTCTCTCTCTCTCTCTCTCTCTCTCTCTCTCTCTCTCTCTCTCTCCACATCCACAAATTGTCACAGACCATCCATAAAACAAACAAAAAAAGTGTAGATAGGCAATGTAGTGATAGTAGCCGATTCAAGGTCGGGCACATTTGTGCAGCTAAGCACCAAGTATTCCACACACCCGTCTGTCGCGGAAGCGAAGTATCGAGGGCAAAAGGCAACCCACTTAACAAACAACAATATTACACAGAACTCAAAACATTTTTAGTTGCACCACAACACACCGGGCTCTGACATATACACCCCCGCAAGAGGGTTCTATAAGTGTGTTTAGACCCAACATAATAAAATAGGGTGACGTGAAGGGGTAGTTGGTCTAAACACACTTAGAGATCCCCCTAACAGTCGGTCCACAAGGCCACCATCCGTCGCACAAATTCAAAACACTGGCACTGCTACCAAACTACCCCTTTACGTCACCATAAGCCATTCCAACAGGGAAGCAGTTGTTTTTTTTTTTACCTCTGTAATAGCAGTTTTTTTTTTAACCTCTTTCATAGCACTTTTACCTCTATAAGAGCATTTTTTTACCTATATAATAGCAGTTGCTATTCATACAACAAGAAAGACTAGCAAGCAACATGGAGAAGAATAGATAGGTTATATGGAGAACTTATACCCCTTTTTTTCTTGACTATCTTTCCTTTGGCTTTCTTTGCGGTACGGTGGTACCCCTTTTATTTGGTCTTGCAGCTCCCATTTCACATTTTACTGTGGCTCTCACGTACAAGGCAGCCCACCATTGACTGTGGTTAAACCACCCCGCTACGCACATCCCCGTGTGCCATAACGGCCCCACTTGCACATTGTGAAAGGAGGCACAGAGTAAAGGGGGACCCGGGGAGGCATTACTCCTGTTCATTTCCCTTCAGATCTTCAGCTTATATTTTTTTCTGTTCTCTAATGATGTTCATTCGTCTGCATTTACTAGCAATACACAAGATGGGCGAGGAAGGCGCGTCTTTGTGTGTGTGTGTGTATGTGTGTGTGTGTGTGTGTGTGTGTGTGTGTGTGTGTGTGTGTGTAATGTCCTGTTCACTATACACACAACTCCGCCAAAAAAGGAGCATGCCTGCCGTCCGTGTGTGTGTGTGTGTGTGTGTGTGTGTTCACTGTGTTGTAGTCTGTCAGCACAACAACCCTTTTCCCACCCTGATGACTAGATCCCTTTTTTTTTTGGGGGGGGGGGCGGGGGGGAGGGGGTTGAAACAGCTTTACCTCTAAGCACATTAAAACCGTTATATAACTGATATTAAGTTTTCCTTGTGCAGTTCTTTCTTCGCTCTCCTTACTGACGAGATTCGTCAACAGCACTGGGGGAACCACAAGGAGCCATGGAGCGGACGCGGCACAAGGACAAACCTCCATACCTGAATATGCACATTTTCTTGGACTTTCTCTACCTGCTCGTCAAACGGCAGTTTCATCGAGAGGCGTTCTATCTCTTGTATAGCATTACTGGATACTGGCGTTCCAAGCCGATGGTAGCTGCAATGACCAAGTTCATGGGATGCAAATGGACCACAAGAAAACCACAAGAAAAGCGAGCAAGCAACAAGGTGTTAGACAAGGGGCAAAAGAAGTCACAGCTGGTAAAAGAGGCTGGTGTCTTGTCCGATGAAGGGTAGTTACTACACGGGGTAGACTGAGGGGGTAGTTTACTTGGGGCCTACAGCCCAACTTTGGGGGGGTAGTATACTTGGACCCTACATCCGACTTTTTTTTTTTTTTTTTTCCGACTTAGGGGTTAGTATATACTTGGACCCTACAACACAACTTAAGGGGGTAGACCCAAGAGGTAGTATGCTTTGATCCTACATCCGACTTGGGGGCTAGTATACCGGGACCCTACAACCCAACTTCGGCGGTAGTATACTGGGACCCTACATCCGACTTGGGGGCTAGTATACCGGGACCCTACAACCCAACTTCGGCGGTAGTATACTGGGACCCCCTACATCCCTGAAAAAGGGGATGTAGGAGCCATGCCATAAAAAAGACACCTGAACTTCTGCTGAAGGCGTCTCATAATTTTCCTCGCCTTCTTGTGCACAAGTCGCATAGTGACGTGGGTGCAGAACACCGCAGCGATTCTGTGCATAGTTCATCCATGAAAGCACTCAAGAGCGCAACATTTTACCACACACAGGTTGACCCACATCATTGAATCGAAACCCTTCGAAACTGATCACAGACTTAGTCAGCCAACGAAAGCAGGCAAGAGCACGACCCCCTTAAACCACCAGTACTTCCTAAAGTCCCGTAGCGTTAACGCTACGCGATTTTCGGAAACGTACGGGCCACTACAGGAGCGCCCAAATTCATCCAACTAGAAACGTTTCTACTCTATTTTTTTCCGCGGCCGATAGCTGGGCCAAGTACTGGTGGTTTGAAAACACATAGTTAACCCACATCATTTTCGCTTCTAGTGCAACACACAGCTGTCCCAGAATTACCAATTCCGGTCCCATTTGGCACCTTCCTTGACTTAGAAATTGGCACCTTCATTTTATTTTATTATTTAATTTAAAGCCATAGTAACTTGGCACGTGGGGAAATAGGGAAAAGTGGACGTTTTCCCAAACTCCTGAAGTTTCGGAGGCCGGGCCCGACGACGGCTGCCATTGATAAATCTGATCGGCGGCCGTCGTTTCGTTTCGGCCTCCAAAAAGGTCGGAGGCCCAACCGAGGCCCGCTATTTTCCCGCGCGCCAAATATACTAGTGGTTTACAAAAAGAAAAAAAAACATCAACTGGGGTGTGCCTACTGCAGACAGGGATAGGAGCCCATGCCTGCTGTAGGGACACAAGTAGGTGATGGCTCTCACGAGTCCCATCTTTGGAATTGGCACCTTCCTTGACATCTGAAATGGGACCTTCCTTGTAACAGAAATTGGCACCTTTCTGAAAAAAAAAAGAAAAAACAAGAAGAAAAAAAAAAGAAAAGAAAGTTGCCTCCCCGCAGCAGAGCCATGTGGTGCTTCCCAAACAAACGAAAAAAAAAAAAAAAAAAAAGGCACCTTCCTTGTGCCTGAGATTGGTGCCTTCTGGGTAACTGAGAGTGTCGCCTACCGTCTTCACCCGGATAGAACGCCTGGTCATTATAGCTGTAGTTGGCGCAACTTCCGGACCAGATGTAGCAATAATGACCGGGCGTCTTATTCGGGTGAAGACGGTAGCCTTGGAAACTGCCACATTCCTTGCCTCGGAAATTGGACCGTCCTACAGGACCATCAGGACCTGTTCAATTGAAAATAACATAAATAATAAAATAATAACCGACCGTCTTTGTATCTGAGATTGGGCCTTGCCTTGTATCAGAAATTAACACCCTTCCTTGTGCCTGAGATGAGATTGGCGCCTTCCTGGTCACTTAAATGGGTACCTTCCTCGCCTCCTAAAAAATTGCCACCACCCTTGTACCACAAATCGACACCCAGTCCGTGCCACTGAATGGTACACGAATGTAACTGTGTTAAAAATAAGCAGATCATGAGTTGAAATCCCGATCGGAGCAGCAGATGCATACAGGTGCGAAGGTTTACAAAAAAATCTATTAAAAAAAAACAATAATTAAAAAAAAGGAAACTTCCTGGTATCGGAAAGTGGCACCTTCCTGTAGCCCCCTTGCTGATGAGTGGTACAGCACTGCCCGGTAAACCGTAGGCAGACTCGGAGAGGGAGAAGAGGACAACAAACGAGGGGCTGTGACAAACTGTTTCATCGGAGTTTCACCGGCTCATCAGGATATATATATATATATACAGGGTTGCCAGGCCGAACGTACGGAGGCTCCTAAGCTGACCCCCGAACGTTCGGGCGTTCGGGTCCCAGTACGGGGCCCGAACCTGAAAGGGTTCGGACCCCGAAAAAAAATATTTTGGCACCTAAGAATTTTTTTTTTTTTCTGCAATTTTTTGTGTGAGTTCTTTGTGATGTAAGGTATCTCCCTCTTAATTTTGAATCCATTCTGTTCAGCCAAAAAAACATGAAAAATCGGCAAAGATGGTGGTGCCAAAACTTGCTTGCCCACTCACTAATTTGTTTTTCCTCTCTTCTGACTTTTTGTTTTTCCTTTATTTCGGGGCATGAAAAAAATTATTATTTTTTCAAACTTTATTTGTAAATACTAAATTCTCTATTATGTAAGCTACACATATATAAATTTTCATGGCATTTGTCACAGCCAAAAACAAATGAAAAATCGCCAAAGATGGCGGTGTCAAAAATGTGCTCGCCCACTCAATAATTTCATTCTCGTTTTTTTTTTCCTAATTTTCATTATTATTATTTATTTTTGGTAGTTGATTTTTATTTCAAATTTGGTAACGAATTTGGATGTAACGTTGAGGAAAATGTTGTTTAGTTTATTCTTCTGCATAACATATATTTCTTTCAGATTTTTTGGAATTCGTTTTGTTTTTGTTTTTGTTTTTTTTTTGGGGGGGGTCCGCGTTCGGCGGGGAACGCGTCGAGAGGGGATCCCGAACGTTTGAGCGTTCGGGTTCGGGCGTTCGGCCCGTTCCGAACGCCGGCAACCCTGTATATATATATATCATCACATGGATATGAGAGCGCAAAAGCGAAAAGAAAAAAGAAAAAAGAATGAATTCATTTTTTTATATCTTCTTCCTTACAACTCCCCCTGTTCAGAACCTCTTGCGTACAAGGCCGCCCACGTGGATGTAGGTTGAGCGGCGGCTGCCCCCACCCCCATGTGTCATATCGCCCCACTTGCACACAGCCAAATAAACAGAACAGGGGGCAACAAAAGAGAGATGTCAAAACATTCTTGTCTGCAAAAAAAATCAAAAAAAGCTCCAATCCCAGTGTGACAACCAAAAGGAAAGAAAAGACAATCCCGGATGACGATATATACAGGGTTACCGGCGTTCGGGACGGGCCGAACGCCCGAACCCGAACGCCCGAACCCGAACGCCCGAACGTACGGGACCCCTTCGGAAGGCGTTCGGCCGTTCGGGCCGAACGCGGACCCAAAAAAAAAAACAAAAAAAAGGTTTCAAAAAATTCCGAAAAAAAACATACGTTATGGAGAAATATAAACTGAACAACATCCAAATTCGTTACCAAATTTGAATTAAAAATCAAATACAGAAAATAAACACTATGATAAAAATAAGAAAAAATAAAAAGAGAATTAAAATGAGTGAGTGTGCCAGCACCTTTCCGACACCGCCATCTTTGCCGATTTTTAATTATCTTTTGGCATTGACAAATGCCCTGAAAATTTACAGATATGTAGTTTACATAATCAATAACTCATTAAAAAAAAATCAAAAAAATAATAATTTTTTTAGGCCCCGAAATAAAATGAAAACAAAAAGTTAAAAGTGAAAAAAGAACAAAACAGTGAGTGGGCGAGCACGTTTTGACACCCCCATCTTTGACGATTTTTAATGTTTTTTTGGCTTGGCAGAACGGCTTCAAAATTTATAGGCGTGTAGGCTACATCGTAGAGAACTCACAATAAAAAATTCAGAAACAAAAACTTAATTTTAGGCCGCGAAACATTTTTTGGCGGGGGCCGAACCTGGAGGTGTTCGGCCCCCGAACGGGACCCCGAACGCCCGAACGTTCGGGGGCCAGCCCAGGGGCCCCCGAACGTTCGTTCAAGTAACCCTGTATATATATATATATCATCACAAATAGAACTGCCCGGTAAACCGTAGGCAGAGAGAGAGAAGAGGACAACAAACGAGGGGCTGTGACAAACTGTTTCGTCGGA